GGACAATCCCATCATGATGTATAAATTTAAGGGTGTAGAATAAATACGAAAGCAATCTATAAATTTCTTTCCAAGTTAAAGATTTATGATTTTTGAAAATGTAATCTCGCAAATCTCCATCCAATTTTTTCAATACTAACACAAAATCTTTTGTTAGAGGGTCTCTTGTTATTCCACTACTAATAACCTTTTGATGCAAGCATTATATGAATTTTGAGCTAAATAATTACTAGTAATTAGTTTTGTGAAAAAATTTATTATCAATGTCAAATTGTTATACCTCATTTAAAAATCGTTCATTATTCGTGGCCGATCCCTTATATTTTAAAACGATTGAGATGTTCGGAGTTCATTCGAACATTTGCTTCTTTTTACAAACGAAGTAATAAGTCCATTTGTCCAAGTAGCTGTATAAATAGATGAACATCCGCCTTGTTTGAGGAATTCAATATTTTCGAGATGAATATATGGTATCCATTCAGTCAGTGCACGCGGTAAAGGCATCTGTATTTGTGCATCTTGAATTGCTTCATCAATATTTGAACTGTTTGAAGTCCAATTACTGAAGTCTTTTCTTAAACAATCTCTCAAACAATGCTCACAATCATCGATAGTGTACCCAGGCTTTTCACATGTTGAGCAAATATATTTTGGACCCTTCTTATTCAGGTTAAAAATTTTTTTTCCAAAATAGATTCTTTTATGGCAAATTTTTTTTCTTCTTCACTTAATATAGTACTATTCTCTAATGAATATACAAGCTCTTCATAAATTTCATTCCAATCATCACCTTGAGCATTTGTATAAATATCATTAATCAGGCAGATTATCAATTCTTCTCGAATATTTTTCATTTTTTAAGTGAATTACAGTATATGTCCTCACAAAGTGGTTTCAAAAAGCTGAAATCTTAATTTATTATAAATTGTAACAATATATAGCACAAAACAAATGTGTATTCTGTGGACACAACTCCTGTATAACGAATATACAATAATAGTAAATTTCTTCGTTATCACGTTCCGAAATTCATCCTGAACAGTTTACGTGAGCAGACAATTCGATCCTCTAAATATCAAGAATGTTAATATGCAGTCTAATCATTCGGGCTATTCGGGTATTATTACTTTTATAATATTATAATTTTGTTTCAATATTGTCATTTTTAATAATATTGTCTAATTATTATAAAGAATAATCGTGATGAAAAAAGAATACTGAAAGCTTAATAAACATGGATCCACTTGGTGTAATCGACCTGAAAAAATTGAACATAAAAAGTCATTCATCTAAAATCTAATGAAAAAGATGATGCTGAAGGAATGTTTACACTTGGTTTTCATTATCAATATGTAATGAGAATTGAGAAAGATAAAAATAAAGCATTCATTTATTACCAAGCATCCACTGATATGGGAATATTAGTGATAAATAGCCTCGGAAACTGTATAAAATACAATTGCTTTAAGAAGATATAATTATAAAATTTTGTTACCATTTAAGTTTTTTTAAGTAGGACCTGAAATCAAATTGATTTCGAATCTATAGATGGTTTGTATCTATCTATAACAGTATTAAAAATTAGGAACTCTTCGCATGTTAAAACGTTTCTCTTACGGAAATTGTTATTGTCATAAAATCTCAAAACACAGTCAAACTTCTATATATGCCCTCCTATTGGGACCAGCT